GATCCTGTAGGGTTGCACGTGGTAGCAAAGCACAGTCCGACGCGACGCGGCTGCAGCCGCAGCCGCAACGTCGATGCACGGCGGCGCTGTCGCACCGCCGCCCCCTGCATCGGCGCTTGCGCCCTCACTACACGCAACTCAACCTTGCGGCCCGCGTTGGCGGCGAGCGCAGCTGATGCCGGCGCTGGCGGCCAACTACTATGTGTGGCCGGCCGCGCAGCTGCTGAACTTCACTCTGGTGCCCCAGGACCTGCGGATCTTGTACGTGAATGTCATCAGCATTGCATGGACCGCCTACATCTCAAACATGGCCAGCAGCACGGCCTCGGACGCGCCAGAGGCAAGCGGCGGCGCCGCGGCCGCGGCAACGTCCGAGGCCGCGGGCCGCGCGGAGGCGGAGCGGCAGCAGCGGGCGAGTGGGGTCGCGGGCGCTGCGGTGATGAGCAGCATCGGGGAGTACTGACGCGCCAAGCTGGGTGTCACATGTTGAAGCACTGTTGCAGACAGCCTGCTTCGCCCAGGGGCCCCTATTGCCCCCACACATCCCCCACACGTACTCATACTGGCCTTGCAAGACGCGGCTGTTGTGCAGGCTCCCTCACATCCTTTGGAGCCCTTGCCTGTGCTGCTCCTTGCACCTGGGCGTTTTTGCCTGCCCCTGTCGCGTCCCCATCCGATGCTTTCTTGGCGGCGACGACGCTCGTGCGTCGCCCCGCCTGCAGCCCACTGGTGCGCCATCTGCGCCAACCCTTTGGCGGCGCATTCCTCTCGTCGTCCCCGGAACCACGGCTGCGCAAGCCGGGGTCCAGCTGTGACCGCCCTGCTGGCTGCATATCAAGGGCTTGTTGCCGGCACCTGTCATCGAAGGCTCAGAAAGCGTTGCCTCACCTCCTCAATGTATCAGTGCGCCTCTACAACACACGCCAACTCTGTTCTTCTTGCGGGGTCAGCCGGCTGCGTGCCGCTTTACGCCGTTGTCCAACCGAACCCGCTGCGCAGGCGCAGGCGGACGGGCATGGGATCGGTTTTGCATGCTTTGGCTTGACGCATGTGGTTTTACGGATGCCCATGTGGCTCCTCAGGTGCACAATAACATGACCAAAAGCCAGTGACGCTGCTGCAAAACGCAGCCAAACCAACATGCTTGGTCTGCTTGACCACGGCCGCCCTGCTCTCTGCCCAGGCGTTGCAGCAGGCGGAAGGGAGTTTTGGTGGGCATGCGCACTACCTCGGCCCTTTTTATGAATACAATTCACCACTTTATGTGCGATGGGTCCAAGCGCCCTGCCTAGGCCGTTGCCTGTTGCGTTGCTTTGTTCGCCGCCTTGTGTGGCTTCACAAACTGTTGGGACCATACGCCGGCGCAGCCAACCTTGCTTGATTGAAGTGATTGAATGCATGTGTAACCTTGAATCTGCCTGACATGACCCATAAATCGTTGCATGGAGCGCAACCCAGCACAGGTAAGCATGCTGCAGACCGCTTTGCAGAACGCTTTGATTCAGGTAAGAGCGCATATTAGTCTGCCTGCCCCCAGGTGGGCCTGCAGCTCGCCAACCGTTTGTCACGCACTATCTAAATGCAGGAGAGTAGTGATTGCTTAAGCTGCCTGTCCTCAGAAGGGCAGGGCATGCATGGCTGGGGAAGCTCGCGTGGAGGGTTGCAAGCGCCCAAACAACACTTCCGTGGCCCATGCCACCTGCTGCGGCCGCGCCTCAGCAACCGCCGCTCTGCCTTGACGTTTGATATTTCAAAATGCTTCGTTTCCGCGACCTGCCGCTTCCCGTAGTGTCTTGTCATACACCACGCTGCGCATTCGTTCGGCACTACCGTAGCGTGGTTACGCCCTGATCATCCTCGTGATGATAGCAACCTTGTTTTCAAGGGGCATGAGCTTTGAACAGATCAAAATCTTACGTTGTATTAGCTGTTGGACCCAGCTAGGGACCAGCTGGCTGGATGACCTTCATTGGTCCCGCCAGAAAAAGTGTGATGGTCAAGCAAGGAGGCTTCTCTGCAGGCTTCTGTGCAAGCTACCCGGTGCGAAAGGGTGACATTGAAGCCCTCAAAGCCAATAAATCTCGCATTTCATGGCCACAAACGGCATCATAGAGCCAACCTGCAAAAGCCCAGACTTCCACACATCTGCATCAGCTCTTCACACACACGGCTTGACAACCCCCGCCAGAACGCCACAATGATCGGCAAGTGCTTCGCTGCGCTCTGCGGCTGCTTCGCTGCGATCTGCTGCTGCGGCGCCTGCTGCGTCGAGGAGACCATTGAAGAGGTCGTCAAGTACGCCTGAGCGCAGCACCTCCAGGCTCCAGCACACCTTCCAGTCGCCCAGGAGCTGGGAAGGTGGCCCCTGTGCCCCACCAGTAGGAACAGCAGTGACACGAACTTGCATAGCCACCGGCGCAAAAGTTTTTTTCTCTCATCTGATATATCACACACGCAGACAGGTTTCCGTTCTTAATTTTTTACAACCGCCACACTCATCTCTGCTGTTATGCACTGTCGATAGTGGTGCTATTGATGTCTGACTGAAAAACATGCAGTGGAAGTCTGCACCCATGTAACATTTCAAAGATTGTCATGTGCAACTGACAAGAGGAGGGCAGGCGTGGAGTGACGTCTGGGGTATGGGCGACCTGATCGTAGGCCAGCGTGGCGCGCCTGCTGATGATGTGCAGCTGACGTTGAGAATCTCTTTATCAAGTGTCGCTGATAGCTTGTACGTAGCTTGTCACGCAGGTGTATAAACAACGGTGCATGCGATCCTGCAGCTGTGATCATGGCCGTCAACATGCACACACGCGATTGGCTCGCGCTCGGTTACAGCTGTTCCCAAGTGTGCAGAGCCAACATTGTCCCACCCCAGGGGTGAGGGCCCTACTAGGACCCCGCGCCACAGCAGCCACGCGCAGGGTTAGATGGAACACCTGCCCAGCCTGGCAATCAGTCCGGATACGTGCGTGTTGCTTTCCGCCGGCGTCGGTTCTCGACGCCAACGCGAAAGGCCCGGATGGCTCCCAACACGTCCTGATAGCATGAACACAAGTGCAGGCCCCGTTCAGGCTCCCTGGGGCGCCCCTGACCCAGTCGTTTTGGTTGTCGCTGGCTGCTGTACGCATGTGTACCCACACGAGCGCACTGGGGGTGACATCAGCGAGCAGCTCTGCGATAGCTCGGCTGCCTCTGCCCTTTCATTCAGCAATCCTCGTCAAATGATTTCGCCACGCTAATCGCTGAGTTTGCAAGGGGCATGCTGCCCCAGGCTGTTTCTAGGCTGGTTGCTGCCTGCATCCAAGTGGCCACTCAGATGATTGCGCTCACCTGGCAGCACGCATGCCTTGGCTGCATCCACCACTGATTTTGAGAACAAGAGGTTGATGTGCAGCCTGTATACAGGCCTGTCACCCGTGTTTCATCAACCCTGGTGCCCCGTCGTCAGGCCGGGGAATCCAGAACATCTTCCGCGGCGTGGGTCGGTCACTTCACGCAGGCGTTCGTGAAACTGCGCTTGCGCTTGCTCGCACCTGCGGCCAAGGCTGGAAGTCGATCCAGAGTGAATTTTCTGGCACTGGGCGTCTCGGCGGTTCCTAAGCAGGAGGTCAAAACTCTAAGCGCAATTTCTCTGCACATATCAGACGGAGCAGGTGCGGGCCTGCGGCGTGCTGGCACTCGCCTGAGGTGGCCTGGTGCTGAAAACGCGCCGACTCGCTGCACTGGCGCACATGCGCGGCCTCCCCTGCCCCTGGCAGCGTCGCATGCCGCGCATAGGCAGGACGCTGGTCTCACCCGGCCTCAGCCCCCCGCCCACCCCACTCGCCGCGGCGCTGCAGCGGGACCCTGAGCCATGGTGGAGCCGTTCTTCATCGGCATCGCCACGGGCGCCGTTGCGCTGATGGCGGCGCTGGCGTCCCTGATCCTGGGCATCAAGAACCACGCGCTGAACCAAAGGAAGCTGTCACTGGAAGAGGAGCACCGGCAGGCGGAGGCGAGGCGGCTGACAGACAAGTTCAGGAATCCCCTGGTGCGGTTTTTTGCGGGGAGGCGGGAGGGTCGTGACCAGTGCGCGTCTCGGGGCAACCCCCGGCCTGGACGCGGCGCGCTGCGCAACCAGTTGCGGGGTGGAGGTCGGGGTGGGGCAGGCACCCCAGGGCTTGTCTGAGGGGGGGCTCGGCGGGCAGGCCCATTCAATGGAGCCTTGAGCGGTGCGCTTGCCGCGGCGGCGTCCTGAGCTGTGGGCTGAGAGTTGGCCCCTCCCCCCCCCCCC